ACTTTTTTTTTGTCTCTTTTATTGAACAATAAGCTTTCTAAGATTCAATAATTTTGATTGCTGAAAAGAAAACAGATTACCCGATATTCAGGTTTAGCAGCGTAGTAAACAATGAACTTTTGATTGCAATGTTGTTGTCGTCGTTTAGTCCAGTTCCTTGATCATCCTCTTCAAATAATAGTTTGCCTTCCTGCTTCAACCACTTATCACGTTTTTTTTTGTCTTGTTTTGTTTCTTTTTTTTTTTCCTTCTTGTCTTAGACTGTTTATCATTGTGAAGAAATGTGAAAATGAACAAATATCCTATCATTGTTCGCACCATTCTTCAATCGCCATCAGCTACAACCTAAATTTTTCTCTTTTCAATGATCATCATGAAAATCCTCTCTCTTTCCTCCAGTTATAAATGTACCAATGGTAGACATTAATCGTTTTTCAGGATCACTAAAAAGAAAGAAGCGACCTTTGAACATGTAGAGATGACGACGACAGTTAAGGAAACGTTACCACTACCTCCCAGTCAACCTCGCCTACCCGACGAGGAACCTGTAATTGCTTAACTGCTTTACGTTACTTTATCCACACGACTAACAACAGAAACTAATATTGATATCAGTAAAGCCATGATTGACACACGTAATGTCAAAAAAAAAAAAAAAAAAAGTTATTAATTCAGGGATCCATGCAGAGACTTAGTTTTGTTAGTTCGTCCACCGGATATAGTTCCGCCAGAAGCAGCCTTCGAAGTTCAGAAATTGGAGAGGAATCTTTTCTTTCAAAGTCTAACGATTTTACCATCGAACGGCGCGTCATTGCGTAAGTTTTGCATTTTTTGTCAAGTAAACAGGTTGAATGATTTTCTGATTTCGTAGAAAGTTCAAATTTACTTATGGCAACTGTTAATTTTCAGCAGTGAATCATTGCTTTCTGAAGCTCGTCGATTGAAGCTAATAAAGAAGTCAAACATATCACAGTTAGATCGGATAGCCATGGAGCTGCTGGAAACAGAAAGATGTTATGTTAATGACTTGAGCGATATTATACAGGTGATAACAATTAGCTTTAAACTAACCCTCATTTACTATCTTGATGTTTTCTCACATTTTATCTTCATTTTTTCATAGTCTTATTCAAGTGTTGATGGTAATTCAGTGGAAAATTTTTTTTTAGGGATATTTGAATTTTTTTATTGGCCATAGGGAACAGTTTCAAATGACTGTTGATGACGTTTCAAATACGTTTGGATGTATCGAAAGAATTTACCTTTTTAACAAACGTTTGTTTTACCAGTTGGATAGGGCGCTGCTTAATATTGTTCAAGTGAGCATTGCCTGTTCTAGTTTAGAAAGCATGCTTTTAAGGACTGCATTACTACTTGTATTTTAGAATAAATCTGTCAACTTATTTATATGGAACCTAAATTAGATTTTTTAGATGGCTAAGTGTTTTGTGGAAAATATCGAGGGATTCAAGGACTATGTTACTTACTGTGCTAACTACCAAAAGTAATTAGCTTATTTTGTCTCATTTTTTATCAAAACTTCATGCATGTCGTTCGTTTTTCTCAAGTTCTCAATCATTACATATATATATTTGTTTGGCAAACCGGTATTTTTCTTGCTCATTAATTACTTCCTTTGTAGTAAGCAGCAAAAAGAATGTTTGTTTAAAAAATTCTAATGTCTTAAGGATGGTGGATACCTTATCTGCATTAATGAAGAACGATACCGTTCGAGAGTGCTTATCGGCTAGGCAAACTTTGCTAGGCCATTCCCTTAACTTGAGCGCATACTTGTTGAAGCCAGTTCAACGAGTTTTGAAGTATCATTTGTTTATGGAGGTTAGTTTGCAACAACGGTATATTTTTATTGTTTTCTTAAACGATCAGTAATTTACGCATAAACCAATAGGAAATTGATGATTATATAATAAATAAACAGATACAGTATGAAAACTGACGTTTGTTGGAATTCCTGATTACTTGAGTCATTGCAGAACATACTGAAACAATCTGCCGAAACCCGTAACCTTTCTGATGCTGATCTCGCGACTGTCAAAAAAGCCCTGCAGTGCCTGAATTCGCTAGCAGACAAGATCAATGAAGAGAAGAAAAGAGTGGAACATTGGGAGCGAGTTCGTGAGCTACAATCTGCTCTTCACAGGCAATTTTTACAATGTTGATTCCGTAGCTAAAATGTTTGAAATTTTCGGCATCCGAATAAATAACAAGTTTTGTGCTCTTTTTAGCTGGACTTTGGACAAACGAAACGACTTGTTTAAATATGGCGATTTGATTCTTGAAGGAAGCTTTAAGTTGGCTGGCTCTAAAACAACTAGGCAACTATTCCTTTTTGAAGAGATGCTTTTGATTGTTAAAGAAAGGAATGGTGCGCTGATATGCAAGGATTATATCATGGTTACTTTTCAAAATTTACACTTGCGTTTCCCTTCGTAGCATCAGCTGAGCCGTCTGTTTTCAGTGCTCAAGCATCATGTTAAAAGAGTCTATGGGATCGAACACTTTGGCCTTCCAGGTTTTGTCGCATGACAATCCAAAAATCCAATATATTTTTGTTGTAAGTTTACCTGCTAATTTTAAAGTTTTTCACTTACTATTGTTTAGTTTGAAGGTAGCCGTAGCGGTCACGAAAAAACATGCTTTTTTCTACCAAGTAATAAATTTTTAAGGCTTCAAACGTAGAGGAGAAGAGAAAGTGGATGAAGGAACTGAAAAGGATGATGCTAGATCACTATGATGTACATATACCAGAAAAAGCTAAGTTACTAATGCTTAATGGCGATACTAGCAATTACAAGCAGATGCCAATATCTGGTGTTTCAGGTGAGTTTCTTTCGAAAGAGAAGTGTAATAGCAACTAATAATAATATTTTTTCATCAGTTTGTTTTTTTTTTTTTTT